GTTAACAAGGAGCTTTATATTCCAAAAAGCCTAAACCAAGATTGTAGTTTTTGAAGTAGGAAACCTTTTACAGTTGATAACAAAAAACAGATTAGCATTTTTGTCTGATAATAATGAGTTGCGGTTGTGTGCTGTTGTCTTGCTACTTCCGCTCAGTATGATTGAAATGTTTATACAATGTATTTGTTTTTTCTTGGAAAGTTAAGGAGGAATTGTTACAGTTATAGTCTTTGTGGTGGTGACTGTCCAGACATCAGAGGAAGGGCAGGTGGACAAGATTTTGTTAAAGGCCAGTATCAGAGTGATAAACAGACTGATTAGCCCATGATGGGGAACAAAGCTTGACCATAATGCCCCCTGAGTAGCAGGGGAAGTGATAAAGAAAGCACATTGAGTGCAGAGTATGATGGCAACAAAACACTTTCCTCCGAATGCTTCCATGAATTATAGACCTGTGTCATTAGGTCATGGTTCATTGTTCATGTTTTCCTTTTTGTCCCTATGGTGAAGAACAGGATTCAAAGTGAAAGGAGTATATGTCTAGTCTAAGAAACCCTGGAGTTTGGCTTTGGTTCAGGTTTTTGTAAAAGAATATTTATATAATGTGTCTGAGCAGCCTCAATAGATCTGCCTCACTTCAAGTGATCCTAGTTTTGTAAAAATGATATTAATTATTGTTAGAGTCATGCTAGGGCTGCACCATTTTGGTCAAAAGGATAATCATGATTATTTTATTCAATATTGAGATCATGATTAATTATTCATTTTCAGACCCCTTTTGTGTATTTATTTCAAAATCACATATATCCTGCTACTCACCTATTGCCAGGGCTGGACTGAGACGAAAAATCACACCTGGCCTCTTTGCCCACACCAGGGTCCAAAATTAACACCCGTCAAGCCTCAACTGCGGGTAGATTTTCCCTTTGGTGAGTAAGTCTCAGGTGGTTATCCACCCACATGGTGGGTACATTTTTGTACCCAAACTCGTGTATGAAAATATGCTGAGTTTCAAGTGTGTTTGGTGTAGCTGCAGCTTCTTTCTCCTGCTCCTCCGTCTGAATTTCAGAGCTTCACAGGGGCGCAGTGACACTCATAAACATCCACCGATGCACATGTGCACACCAAACAGGAACACCAGCCACCACGTGCCACTATTTCCTTTTAGTGCAACAGTACACAGTTAATCTGTGATCCGTAAAGACCTATTCTTTATGGTTGGTTTTGCGCGGGATCCCGTCAGTTTGACTTTTGTCACTTCACTCTCTCTATGTCTGCTTCTATCAACAATCAGTAACTTAACTTTTGTACCATCATCCCACAGCCTGATACAGGCAGTAAACCTCTCCATACAGTCTCTGTTGAACAGTGCTGCGTTCTATTCAAACTCTGAAGATAAAGTGAACACTGAACGCCAATCACCTGTTTGACTTACCCCTGCAGAGGAGCAACCAGTGATAAGAACGTGTCTGCTAAATAAACGGTCTAGTCATTTTCTATGTTTAACATTGTCAAAGCTTAACCGAGAGCAAAACTTTTCTTTGTCCATCAAAGCAAATTTATTCTTCACAGATGGATTTTTCTTTTGTGTTTGTGATACTGAAGAACTCAGACTGCTGAGGCAAGCCCTTTGATCTGCCCCTGCAGTCTGAAGTTTTTCAATATTCCAAACACAGTGACGGTGCTGGAGAAGAGGAAGAGAGAGAGAAAGAGAAGGAGAGCATACAAACATAAAACTTTGTGTGTCTTGTGTTACTCTGTGTGACTCTCAGTTCCATTTAACTGCACATAGACACATTTTACCACAGAACACGAACTAAAAAAAATCAAATATTGAGGCTTTTCACTGAAATCTAGAAGTTGTTATAATAAAGTGATAAAATGAATTATTTTCCACAGAGTAACGGTAGTTTTCTCTAATGAAGAGGACAGGCACGAGACTAATGTCTGTAAGCACAAATAAATGAGTTTTGGTGTGAATATATGTTTCAAATATTCAGCATTTGGTTTTCATTATATTAAACTGTTCTGTGACAATACACTCAATATAACATCAGTAGTCACTAAAATTCTTTACCCTTCTAATTGATCCTCGGCCAACATTGGGCTGCACATTTTAGTTGTGCGATAGCAATGATGTCACTGTCTGCGGCCATCGAAATAGAGAGTAGTGTCCAAAATGTTTTTTTAATTTTAGAAATTGTATGACACATAAATGTTCTTCCCATTTTCTAGAGAAAATGAGGTGACGATTAAGAATAAAAAAAGTAGGTTACATAACAAAGACGATATGTCAGTTTGCCTGGAAGCATTGCTTCTTCATCAGAAATATTAATGTCTGTTAAAGAGATATTTATTGGAGTTTAATGTTAATACTTGACTTAAAGCACTTGTTGAGATGGAGAGACAGAGCTGGCAGTGTGGGATGGGATCATAGTGGATTGAGTTTTTTCTGGAAACATTGAGTTTAATCACAGGCTACGTTCATCCGTCACATTATTTTTACATGGGTCCAATCACATTGAGAGGAGTAACCTCCCTGCCTCCCATTTCATATTTCTCTGGATTTGGAAAAGAAATTCACTGAGAATATTCATGTTTAATCTTGTAGTTTGACAAAAAGATCAACAACTGCCTTTTGTATTTTCTTCCCTAAGCCAGCTTTGCTTATTAATACAATGGCAGACTAATCAAATGACAGACAACAATGTGGCTTTAGGCTGGGCTGAAAGATACTATAAATATCACTGATGTCATGCTTACTCCTAGAGGCCCCACAGAGGGTTTCTGTTCTCCTTAAAGGGATAGTTCGGTATTTTTGAAGTAGGGTTCTGTGAGGTACATGTCAGGGGGTCACTAGTTCAATGTGAATTTTCCTGATTATATTGTGCTGCATTATCAAATTAGCTCATTTAGGCTTTCTGCGGAAATGGGCTGGCAAGAGAAACTCCGGATAAAGTCAGAGTGAAAATTTGTATGTTAACGTACACATGTGCAGCTCACCCCAAAATCTTAAGCAGTTTTTCAGGAGTTTTGTGAATTATGCTTAAGAGACGGATCACAGTGCTGGGTCAGCTTCTGAAAATGACTTCAACAAGGGGTTGACTCGAGGCAAATGTACGTGCTGGATGTAGTTATGCCAACCCAATCACAAGTTGAAAACCGTACTGGCATTCTGGAGATGCATTTCTCAATTGACAGAACAGGACAGTGAAATGCATAAAAGACGTTCATGTTCTACTGAAATTAAACAAGTGCCCTTAAATTACATAAATTCGAGTAAATTATTTTATAAACGAGTAAACTTTCTTTTGGAGTGGCAGGAGGTCGCAATGGGGTGGCGGGCTTCTACTCCAAATGAATGCTAGGGGAAACATTGGAGTGAAAGTCAGGAGGAGTCACCTGACAACTCGTCATATCTCAGCATGTGGTCATTGTTCATGGTTATTTTCTGCTCATGGTTAGCTTATCATGTTGACCCCTACGCTATCCGGTGTATTGCGTCACTGTGGGAAAAAATGACTGAATTGAAGCATGAAATTATCAGGGTCACAAAGGACGGGATTAGCAACAGAGGACCCTGTGGGAACGGATAGATCAGAACTAAAGATGATTGGAAAACAATTTGTTCACCTTCTCCAGTGTGGTCTTATCCATAATATTATCTCCCTAAAACTGGATGTAGTGTGTCACAAATATAGCTTTATTGTTTGACTGGTTTACTTCAAACTGAACTTCAGTTCATTCTTTACAAATTATTCCTTAAAAATGTTAAATCTTATTATAAAGTTGTTCGAAAAAGAGTCGTCTGTATCAAATGAAATGATGGTCAGTGGTCAAAGTTAGTGTGCCTCCTAAATCTTGTGTTTTACTGGGGACCCCATTATTTATACAGGGTTTCCACCTCCCCAAAACAAGCTTACCAAAGCTGTTTCAAACATGCACAAAGCTCTGAAAAAAATAAATAAATAAAAAATTATGAAAAAAAAAAAAAAAATCTGGGTTTGTGACTGCAAACGACCACATTTTTTACCCTGACTTTACAAAGATTTTTTCCTGCCAGCCCCTGTAGTAAAATTTCCATGTGAAGTCAAGGCGAGCTGATGTTAGAATGCAACAGGTTATATTCAGGAAAATTCTGGACCGGGGGTGATGACGTTCATATCGGTGCAGACTTTGTGCTTTTAATGAAACTGCATTATACACTTTCTGCTCACCTGATCTGATCTTTTCAATTTGTTCATTGATAGTGTCAATACGTTCTATTACACATAGCATTTATATTAATGTTAAAAAAAAATAGCTTCATACTCTGTGGCTTCATCTGCAACATCATGTCTTGCCCTCTCCTACGAGTGCATGTGTGAAAACAGTCCAAGTCATAAAAAAGGGTAAAAACTTGGAATACTGCAAGTTCTTGTCCCAAAAACGGCCTCATACTGTATTTGGTGAGGCTCTGGACTGTGAGCTCAGCTGCCCCGTTCTTACTCATTAGCTGAATACAGACACTTATCCAGAAAACTCATGCCTGTATAAAGTAATGTAGTGACTTGAAACGCAGAGAATGTTTGGACAGAAATGTTTTAATAGCTTGTCACCTGGGCAATTACTTCAAAAAATCAGGTGAGCAGACTTTACAGAAAAATGCAACACAAGGGCAGGTGTAGAGGTTTCATGATGCTAAGGAAAAGAAAGAAATGGTGGATCAATATGTCAAAGCTTTGTGTTTGAAAGTCAAATTCTATTCAGCTGAGGGTGGTAAGCCAAAGTCTATAAACATGCATGAGTGGTATGCTCTCAAATTAACGCGCTGGTCTTTGCTTCTTCATTATGCTTAGCCTTAACGAAGATCATCCATTATTGTTTCAGTCATAACAAGTCCTCTTCCCTGTAAGATTCCTGTCAGGTCACCTCCAGTTTCTCACAGTCAATTCACTGGGGAGACTAAGTCTTTGAAAGCTTTGTGTAATGTTCATTGTTTCTATGTTTTTCCCCTGCAGGGTTCCAGGTTGGTGTGGTGAGAGAGCAAGCTAATTGCAGGGAGGAGGAGACCGCCTGGGGCATCTTGTCCCTGGCTCGCAAGGTAAGAGAACACAAACCAACGAGAAACTTTAATATGTTCAAATCTTCCAGATTGCAGAGACAAAGGATGGCTCGATGAGTTATTGACCGATTTGCTCACATTGTTTTGTTCTGAGCTGGAGTGTCTTCTATTTTTGTCCAACACTGTTGAGCAACATTTAAGTGATCTGGGCTTTTTAAAGAGTTTACCTCAGAAATGTCATCCAGAATATATTTAAAAAAAACAAACACACATTACTGGTAATTCTTCTTCTGTTTCCCTTCCCTGTTTTGCACAAGTTTACCTTGATAAGTATCACTCCACTTGTCTCCGGCCTGAGTTAACTTGTAACATATTGATACTTGAGCCATGATCGGAGTTAGCTGGAGCCTCTCTGCCCTCTAAGTATTAACTTCCCAGCCTGTAATTATGGATCCATGTGAGTTTTTCTGAGGTTACAAAAAGGACTGCCTCCAATTACTGGATCAAAGATCAGTCTGTGAGTTGAGGAACGAAAACAAACTCCAAACAACCTTCTTAGGGTGGATATAGTTACACTGAGTGGGAAAAAAATAAACCAAAATGTTCACCTTGCTGTTTGCTCCAACACATTCAGAATCCTTTGTGGTTTAGTTTTTTAGCATTGTTGTTGACAGTTAGTTGCCTCTGTCCTAACTGCGCTAGTAAAATTTATTAACAAACACTTGTTTTTGCATTTTGTTTTTCTCTGTTATGTGGCATGGTGTACTGTAAACAATGTTATGTATAACATTATTCTTCTACTCTGGAATCAAAACTATTTTTAATATATATTTATTTAAATGGGCTATATGTAACTTTCAAAAATACTGCGTTTGTAGCGATACCGCATTGCTGTTAGGCGAACTGCACCAGTAACCTCGTCATACGTGCTTGTACGTACACAAACGAGCATCATCATCGGCTGCAAAACACTGGATATTTACCAGCATAATGTTTACAGAGGAGGTAAGTGGTCATACACATGTGAAAGTCTGTGAAGGAGTCTGTGTGTCTGTATTCATTCTCCATCCTACAAACGACAGTCTCGGCAGGCACTGGCTGAGAGCAGGAGTGTGTGATGAGTTTGTCCGCCTTTGAGAGCTCCTAGGGCGGATAGAAGTGTGTGGAAGGCGGCCTCTGGCTGTGGAGGTGAAGACCGGGAGTGTGTGATGAGTTTGTACTGTTGATCTCTGTGAGCGGAGTGAGGAGGACGGAAAATACGACCCGGGGAAAAATTATATACAGGCAACACAGATAGACAGTGAACATCTACTTTTTCACATCAGTTAACCGTTCGCTTATTAATGGGCGATACAAAACGATTTATACATGTGAAAAGTTACATATTACCCCCTTTAAATAAATGTGAGGAATAGTGGGAAGAGAAACCTTTAGGTCCTAGTTGCCACTGCTTGATATCTGAAGAAATTAATTTAAAACAATATACTGAAAAAAATGTTGGTGACAGGCATGGTAATCTAGTCAAAGAATGTCAACATGATGCACTGATGTTTGCATTTCCAGTCATATCACAGAGTTGGGAGGGAACGTTCTTGTAAACTGCACCCAGCGCCTGCCTAGCGCCGGCCAGGGGGCTGCTATTGTAAAATACTAGGAAGGGCTTGGTCCTAAGCAAAATATCCAGCGGTATGCCAGAGAAAAAATCCAGCCAAGTGCAGCTGCAGATCAAAAACAGATTGTATGTGTATGGAGATATGGGGGGGGGGGGATAAGTAGGCATTGTAAGGTAGAAGTAGTGGCCGTATGGGCATCATGTCTTGATACAACTTGCCACTGGTCTGATAGTTCAGTTTGATGGTTCTAACTCTCCCTCTGTTTTTGTAACTTCAAGTGTTTTCTGCTTATTCCACCTTTGTGTGTGTCTTTTTGTTTTCAACCATTTTTCATTTGATGTATTAACACTTTGAAAGGCATGTCTGTATCCCCATCTGACTTTTTTGCTTCAAACACATTGTGCAAACACTGCACAGATAAAGGCCATCATTTTCTGCTCTGTATGCAGCTCTGAATCAGTGTCAATAGACAAACTTGTGCAGTTCTGTGCCAAAAAATGAAGCAAAGCCTATTGGTGTAGTTGCAGCGTCTCTAGGCTATCCAGCTCTTTTGCTGTCTGCATGTCAGAGCGTCTATCCCGTATACTTTAAGTTAAACAGAACACCGTCCATGATCTGTGCGTTATATCCAAACACCGAAGATGCAGTGTCCGCTAAATGCACGCTTCCCTTTTCACTTATATGCCGGGGCAGTTCCACAGAGGAGCAGGGTGGTCTGTGCACTGCTACCTTTTTAATAATAAAGGCAAGCAGTACTACATTTACTGAAGTTCTGTACTTAGGTACATAACAGCTTTCATTACTTGTGTTTAGTTTTCCCTTCAGCGTTTTTTGTGTGATTTAGTTCAGTCACACTGGTCTTGTTATTTTTATTTTATGAAGTAGGCTAAATGAAATCATTCATAAAGCGTTCATTATTTGTGTAAATATAATAGATTATTACTCTGTTGAAATGGCATTTCATATAGTGAAGAGAGCTAATGACTCGTTAATGACTCGTCATTCAAAACTGAGGACTTTGGACTTGACTTGAGACTTTCATATGACTTGTAAAGCAATGTCTTTGTCAGCCTCTGCTTCAAATGAATAAACTTAACAACTTTAGGTTAATTAAACATCCGTTCAGTTATTTTCTTGAAATATGCCCCTGCATTGTTTGCTTGTTGGATAGTTAATTTGATAAATTACTTGTCTTTATGCATGCCAAGTTTTACTTCTATAACAGAAGGATGCATAGTTGTAGTGAACTCTGGATTACGTGGGACATCCCTACTAGTCTAAAGTCCTTTGCACTTTTAGTTAATATTACCAACGTAATTGCAATTTTCTTTAAGAACATATAGTCATGTTCCATTGTAGAGGCCTGGATAGGATGTCACAAGTTTCCCCTGAAGCCCCGGAATAATCCCAAGCAAAACTGATTTACAGAGCCACAGAGACAGTTTGTCTGCTGTTTAACTGGTGATTCTCTGGGCCGGCTCATCTTTTGACCCACATGCCCGTCTCTGCCAGTGTCAATGCAGAACTTACAAACACTCACACGAAGTGACAGCATGCCTTCCTTGGCAGCTGGCCGGTCCTCAGGGACAACTGAGAGGAGGAGATGTGGACAAGCTTGATATTGGGTAACCCACACATCTGATGACTCAGTTGGTCTGTCTGTGTGCGTGCGTGTGTGTGTTGAAGCTCTTAAGAGATAAACTCAGGTGTTCTTAGGTCAAGCAGCTGTCTGGGAAGAGCTGTGCATTCTTGAAGTTGGAAAATGTCACATGTGCTCCAGTGAACTATTAACCTCTGTGAGCTTTCCTGCATTTTGTGTCCACAGATGGTAATACTGTGTCTCATCTCATTATAGCAATATAGAGTTAAAGGATTAACACTGGGTTAAATATGTATTAACAGAGTTCAGTAAAACATTCAATCCCTGCTGAACCTGTTTGTAATTAAAGTCCTATTGTCGAAAGTGCAGTTGAACGTATCCTCAGTACATGTGCAAAACTGGAAAAGTTTTCTATCTCATGCTTAAGACCCTGAGAGGGATATGTTTGACATATTGCTTTGTCATTCACCTCCAGTTTGTGAGAGTGATTATACCTACTGACAAGTATTCTCTTCCTCTGAGACTGATCTTATCAGGCACAAAAAAAACAAGGGTTTGTGTCTTTACAAGAATTTAGAACAAAACATGTGTCTTTTGAGGACAAACAGCATGAACATGGAGATCATTGTTTCTAACACAAGAAAAATGATCCTTTATTCCCTGAAACGATTAAGCAATTTAACACTCGGTTGAGGGCTTTGTTACTTTTTGCTTACTAAACACTGCCTGTTATTTTAATGAACTTGCTGGATTTGTCAATTGTATTGATGATGGAAGTGGAACACACCTGACTAGATAGTCTCTATGTTTTCTGTTGCAAAATCCTGGCTCATTCAAACATGATACAGGTATTCATTTATAAAAGTATCTAAATGATATTCACAACAAAAACACCATATTGGTGTGATAAAGGGTCTATATGAGAAGGTGACGCGTGTATGCTGGTCGAGAGTGGCGTGTGAATGTTTTGAAGTGCAAAAACAGGGCCAAAAGGCAACTGAGAAAAATACTAACACAGCCATGCAACACACTGCCTGCAGGGAGAGAGCAAGAAATGAGAGTTTTATTGTCCGAACAGCTGGGTAACAACAGGTATTACCAGAAGGTACTGATGACACCCTGTCAACCTATTAAATTAAAAGCACACTGCTAAACAGGCATCACATTTGGGAATCATAACCGTGTTATAAATTATTTGTTTCAGTCAGGTGGCTACCTTCAGTTGCTGAATCTTCATTGCACCATCACCATCCTTATAGACCCACTTTGCCTTGTTGGACTTTGTGATTTATTCATGTACATTTGCCTCACTGTACAAATTGTTTAATTGCTTTTATCTGTGAACCACTTTGTAACAGTGTACTGTGTTTTAAAAGTGCTATATAATTAAAGTCTTACTTACTCAAGGAGCATATGACACTTTAAAAACTGAGATGCACAGAGCACCGAAAGATCAAGTTTAAGTCATTACTTTTGTTTTTTTATTACATGAAAGCCACTTTGCCAAATATATCTAAACTGATTTCTTATGTTTGCCTTCTCTAAGTTCAAATATGGTATTAAATAATAAGTCAATTCAGTTGATTCAATGGTCTCTTAATATCAAGAAGATCATTCAAGTTTATTATTATGATTTGAAATAACGTTTTGGTCTAAAACTTTTAAATTGAACCCAGGCACTAAAATAACAAAAAAGTTTAAAGCAGGATCAGCAGTCACACTCGAGTACTACTTACTTGATTTGGTTTCTTACAGTAAGGCTGATTGTCGGACACTTCAGTGTTTTAACCTGATGTAAATAGTCAGTAAGGTGTATGGGGCTGGATGAAAGGTGTTTAATCCAATTGCAATGGTCACCACTGTCTGGTCACCCTTTGGCTCTTCACCAACAATGTCACACTAGATTTTGCAACCAGATTAAATGGTGATTGGATGCAGATTAGTGTTTCCAGATTATTCAGGTCATTAACCCCAACAGCAAAGTGTTTTATTTAGTTTTCATGATTTTACAACCAGAGGAATGCAGTTTTTGCCATAAATAAAAACAATGAAAGATGGTCCGGGTTTTAATGGCTTTCTCCAAACAGTTCTCTTTTGCATCAGAATTTTTGAAAGCATCTTGCGACTCAACCCTGGGTGTCTGACCCTCTGGTGCCGAGGAACTGTTTTGGTTGTCTTTTTAAGAGATGAAATGTTTTCCCATACAGGTCACCCTGACATTTGTCTCTTGTGTTTGCAGTGACTAAGGCAGGGGCTTAGCAAACTGTTCTGCAGCATGGAGAAAGAAGACCTGAAGGTCCTCAACAAAGGGGAAGAAGAGGAGATGGTATGCTTCTGTCTTATTCGACATCAGTCCCAATGCTGAAATCTTGGATTTCAAACTCATCAGAATGCACTGCCATTTTTTAAAAACCATTCAACCTTTAGGAGCTGCAGGGCTACCGTCTATGTCGTTGGCGGCTGGCCCTGGTGGGCCTCGGGGTGCTGTGTACAGGGGGCTTCCTCCTCCTGCTGCTCTACTGGATGCCAGAGTGGTGCGTCAAATCCACCTGCACCCGTACCACAGCTCGAGATGCTAAAGTCGTTTTGATGCGTTCCACGGTAGGTTGCAAGTAGAACAGAAATAATGAATCGACTAATCCGTCATAGTCCACTACTCACCTTGTTTGTCTCTGTTCGCTTAGGATGAGTTCCGGCGCTGGTTCCTGGCCAGGGTTCGAGTGATGCTGGCCCCAGGGAGCAACCCCTTCCACAGCCTGGACACCCAGACCACCTCCCCCTCCTCCCTGTCCTCCCCTTCCTCTCCCTCCCACCCCTTCTCCTCCCATGCCTCCCCTCCTCTGGCCAACGGACATAGTCCCCATCCCTCCGATGGCAGCCCCGCTCAAGAGCTAATCAGTAGATTTTCATACTACCAGCCCATACAGGTATTCACATACAAGCACGTTAACACTTTGAGGCATATCTTAAAGTGGCTGCCAGACCTACATCTACTGCTATTAGTAATGTATATTTATACACCATGTTCATGATATATTTGTGTAACCATGTCACATAAAGCCGATTTCTTCCTGACACATCAACCCTTTTCACACATACGGAAATCTCCTGAAAAACTCTGGAGATTTGGCTACCCGGAGGGGATTTAGGCTATGTGTGAACGCAAACAGCCACATTTTTCGCACGGACTTTACCCAGAGTTTCTCCAGCCAGACCCCTAGTATTTTTTTCCACAGAAAATCCGAGTGAGCTTATGTCTGAACGCGGCCGCATATACTCCGGAGGTTTCAACTCGAGCCAATGGGAAGAGAATGACGTTTATATACAGTGGCCAGCTAAAGTGTTTGCACGCGACCACTACGATCTCCGTGCACGTAATTAAACGGCTCCATTATGTTTTCTGTTCGTCAGTATGTTGTTCTCCACTCTTTTGTGGATGTTGTCATTCCATTGGATTACACATAGCATTGATATAAAGGCAAGTATTCTCATTATAACATTGTGTAGCTACTTCCGCGTTGTATTTTTACGTCACGTCTTACGTCGGGAAATCCCCCGTCCCCCCTCCCCTCTGACAGGGTAAGTCCCCCGCTGTGAGGAGCATATGTGAACGGCTAGGTCTTGAGAATCTCCGGAGAAGTCCTCCTGTAAATATCTAGATATTATCCGGAGTGCATTTGTGCTCTAGTCATACGGCTCTATCATTTACTGTTTCCTGCCTTTTTTAAGTTTGTGCTAACAAAAAAGTATAGGTGACATGTTTTATGATGGTTCAAATGTGTAAGACAGCTTTGCTTCTTCTCTCTTCTTTTCCCTCAGATTCGTTATTTTACCTTCCATAGCACAAAGTATTATTGGAACGAAGAGCTGCAGAACTTTGAAGTTTTAAAGTAAGCACTCATTCATTTTCCACAGACATTTTAATGGGCTATTTTTAATCTGCACTTATTCTGACAGTAAGCCAAAATGACCTTGGGTTTTATTGAGCAGTCTTTTTGCAGTGATACGTCACAGTATACATCAATTACAAACAAGCTTTATTAAACGTTGCACGTATGAATATGTGACTTAAAAGTGTCATCTTTGTCCAGTGCTTTGACCTACATCTATTTCCCACACAGTGGCCTGGAGGATCTGCAGGTCAGCTGCTCCACCCTCCACTCTGAGCACAGCGCAGGCCTGACCAGGAACCAGCAAGAGTACAGGTAACAGCTGACAGCTGACACAACTTTGAAACAGCCTGATAGGACAAGGGTCCTCAGGCCTATAAATCACATTATTCTGTCTTGTAATTTAGAGCACCAGCAATTTTTGTAAGTGTTCAGCGCAATGTTTCCATCCTCTATGATTTGTCAGAACGATACCAGTCAGGGATCCCAATGTGTGGAAGTCAGTTTGGATACATTACAAAGACTATTTACACTATGAAGAAGGGAAATCATGTTTAAATACTGTTTAAAACTAATACTTCATACCCAATGGTACAGTTTGTATGTCTCACTGCTGCCCCTTGCATGCATGTTTATGTCTGTTTTCATATGGAGTTGTTAACTTTACTTGGTTCATAAATGTCTCTCTCACCTCTTGTCAGGAGATTGTTCTTCGGAGTGAATGAAATTGCAGTGAAAGTGCCTTCTGTTTTCAAGCTGCTTATCAAAGAGGTAGGGTCCAGTGTGCATAAACAGCAGTGTTGTTATGTTGCTGTACCTGGGTGATGGAAGGGGCGGGGGGGTCGTACCTTATTTTCATAAGGGTAGGATATTTATTAATAAAAGGATAGGATATAAACTGTACACAAAAACCCTTATTCTGCTTCGCTTCTTCCCTTTCATTCTCTTATATGTTCTCACACACGCACACAAACACACACACTTACACACACAAACTTTGAACTAGCCTCTAATACTTACACACAGCGGCTTGACCCCACCTGCCCCATTCTGTATCCGGTTCATTTTTTGTCTGCGTCTTCTCTTTTTTACAATATTTATCAGCAGTACATTTGATAATGATGCTCAAATAAGGTTACTCATGTTTTGAAATGTTTCCATAGATACTCCGTTACCACAACAGGGGATCTGTGTATGTTGCAGGCTTGTTGATGATTCAGCGTTTCGCAACATTCTTCCTAAATTAAACGCGCAACACACATTGGCAGCAAGCAGCTGCAGAGAAATGATAAAAATGAGGGCATAAGAAGCATCAGTTAAAACAAGAGACCTCACACCTCAAATCGGTGCATTCACTGGAGGGAAAATGGCCAATATACTTGGCACTTCTGAGTAGGTGCGGGAAACACTCAACGGGAAACACTCAACAGAGGGAAACACTCAACAGAGACACATGTTTCCTTCAATAAAATGCATCATGTCAACTTTTGCGCTCAGCCCAGTGTTTTTGAGATTTCTTTAGACAAATTGTAGAATTGGGCTAATGCCCCTGATTTAGTTATTTGGACTTATTTTTCTGCAACTTGAAATAATAACTTGATCTCTGATCGATTCATGCAAACCATTATTTATGCAAGGCATTAGTCACTTCAACCACCAGATCTATTTTTGAAACACAAACACCTACTTGTGTACTTAAGCCGTATAAATAAGTGCACATCTGTTCCTCTGTTCTCAGCATACTTAATCAGTTTTATCGCTCATTTAATTAGGTTTCAGTTACATTGTCAGTTTGATCAGACTTTCTCTTTCTCTGCCGGTACATATATAGGAGAATAATAAGACATTTACAGTTATATACCTAATTTTTAAAGGAAACAAGTTTGGATATCCATTTAGTAAAATTCCACAAGAGAACTGCTGATTCATGGTAAATACAAAACTCAAGCTTTTCTGCTGACCTGGCCATGTACATTAAGCCTCAACCTGCCTCAGTGGTCACTCTTTATTTACATATGCATCTCATTCATTTGCACCTTAAACACTGATAAACATCTGAACCTCTAGTGACATCAGCCCTTCTCTCGCTACATAAGTTAACATCTTGAGTGGGAATCATGCTGACTTATGGGAACTTGAACACCTCTGCGTCCTGACAGTGTCTTAATTATGTCCTTATTGATATATCTGTTTATAAAGTAATTGTTATTCTACTTTCAAGCTCTCATCTTTGCAATTGCCAACCTAATCTCTCTCTCCCTCTCTCTCTCTCTCTCCTTCTGCAGGTCCTCAATCCTTTCTACATCTTCCAGCTCTTCAGTGTGATCCTGTGGAGTGCCGATGAGTATTACTACTATGCTGTGGCCATTGTTTTCATGTCGGTCATATCCATAGCTACCTCTCTGTACACCATCAAAAAGGTGAGCTCCACAGAAAGTTGGGACTTTTTGTGAATCCACAGCCATTTATTAAACAAGTTGCCCTGGAAAGAAACGAAATAGGTTCTTATTTGTGCATATGTTACTTGCAACTATGGAACTTCTTAAGCTACAAGTGAGATGTCGTCTGATCCGGAAGATATGTTCCTACATTTTGACGTCTGTGTGGGGCAACCTGCTAGATTTAAATGAATAAATGTGTGTCTGGGGTATTGGTATTTTCTGACAGGATCATCTGCTCGTATGAGACTTATGAAACATCAACTTAATATAAATGCCTTTTTTAAAATGAACTCGGATCAGCTTCCTAAGAAATTAACGTTCTGCTGCAAAAAACCACATGCCAGAAATTCCTTAAAACAAATCAAAGGAACTTAAAATAAAGAACAGTTAACTGTTACATCAACATATCAGTAACTTTAAGTACACAACATTCTCAACCCTCTAAAAAACACTACAGTAACTAGAACAGCAGCAGCCTTGGAAAAGACCATATCAGACATTTTCACTGCCTCTTCTTGTGTCTAGTTCAGGGTTTAAAGGCTCCTCTACACTATGTCTACTACTCCTAGCTTTTAAATCGACAACCTCAAAAGTTCACTCTTTAAAAGATTATATTTGTTGTTGTTTTTTTCAGCAATATGTCATGCTTCATGATATGGTGGCAACTCACAGTATCGTCCGTGTGTCTGTATGCAGGGCCAACAAAGGTTTGTTGATTTCTTTATAATTTTTGATTCTTTAATCAGGGTTAAGGGTTAGAGTTTCAGTCACTTCAACATTAAAACACAGCAAGTACTACGCTGAACGGTTTCCTGCTTTTGTAAAGAGTGCTTTCTATACAAAACCTGACAGTAGACAGTTTCTGCTCCTGTGTTGGCCCAGACTCAATAACAAAGTCACCCTGCTTTGGCTGTCCTCCAGAAGGCTGCCAGTATGGGACAATGCAGGCTATGAGAAAGAATGAACAATGTGTGTATTAAAAAAAAGTGGGTGTAGCTTATTTATGTGTTGGAAAGCATTCTTTAAACATTCTCTACATTGCTTTTTCATGTCTGCATGCCTTTTAAAGGGGATTGTTTCTGCAGAGGTGATGCATTGATATAAACTCTTACATTGTTTGTCTTATCAGCTGTTGCCAATTAAAATACATTTTTCTGAGGTAGCCGAGGAAAATAGTTAAACTTCAGTTTAAAAAAAAATGCTGTAAGCATTTGTACTCCAGTTATATTTTTGTCAGTGCATTCACCTACTGATCTGGCACTCTGCTTGTGATGCCTCAGCTTTTTTTCTTGCTGCCCAGAGAGCTGTGAGTATTAAGATGTGCTGAACAAGACTCAGGGGCTCTGACACACAAAATATTTCTTTCCTCATTGCCCCCACCATCTGCTACTGTTGGCTCCATTTCACCTTTCTCCACACTCCTAATGTTCTATCTTCTTTTCAGTGACACACACTTCTGTCCACTTACCTTTTTCCTCCTCTCCATTGTACTTTCTTCCTGGCAGATATCGAGGAGATCATGTCTACAGATCTTGTGCCTGGTGATGTTATGATTATCCCCAGCAATGGGACCATCATGCCATGTGACGCCGTGCTGGTCAGCGGCACCTGCATCGTCAATGAAAGCATGCTCACAGGTTAGTAAATATAAGAAAAAGTGTTTATCTTGTTACACAGGAGAAACGCTGGTGGGATGCCCAGTATGTCTGTAGATGAATTAAGCGATGGACCTCAGGAGACTCACAACATCAGTACACTCTTTCTGTAGAGCTCATAGCCGTCTGTCCTAACATTAGTCTAACCCTGATAGGTGAGAGTGTTCCTGTGACAAAGACCAACCTCCCAAATCCTGAACCAGGGGAGAGGAGGGAGGAAGCTGACAGTGCCTACAACACAGAGGAGTATAAGAGACACACACTCTTCTGCGGCACCAATGTCATCCAGACCCGTTTCTACACAGGAGAACTGGTCAAGGCTGTTGTGGTCCGCACAGGTACGTGTGTGTCTTGTGATATTCATTAAGAATTGTTCAAGTTAGAATGGTCTCTACATTGGTGTACAATTTCTATGATGCTTTATGCAGAAACTTTGACAATGAAACAGTTAGATCATCAATTTTGTAATTTTTAAAAAATATATTTATTTAACCAGGAGAAAACTCTAGGAGTTTCCTGGCCCAGACAAGCAGCAGCACAGTAAATAAAGTTTCTGACAAACAAAGAGAAGCTATATGTACAAACAAAGAGAAGCTATACGTACAAACATAATGCAAAATAGGTGAATACATTAAAAGACATGAAACAAGTAAAACAGCAAATATTTGTCAAAGTCGAGTACTTATTAATAGATCAGGCACAACATGTCCCGGTACCTGAATCCAAGTCGTTAAAAATACACTGAAAAGCATCTAATGAGACCTTTTCCCCAGTTCTGTTCTGACCTTTGGAACAAAGGGTAAGAAAAGTTCCTGGGACCGAATATTATTAGTACCTGTACTCTTTCAACTAATGTAGGTCAGAAGGTACGAGGGGAATAGACCTGAAATGGCCTTCTCAATAAGAATATGCCAGTGTTTTAGTCTCATGACCATCCAACATGTGAATACAGTAAACAAAGAAGACTTAAGGCTATCAGTGATGAACCTCAAAGCTCTGTGACACACCGTGTCCAGTGAATGTAAGCCTTTAGACGAAGTTTGCATATGAAACACATCACCATAGCACAGATGTAAAAGTGGCAGCAACCAGTCTCTTTGGGGAAAAAAGCCCGGCTTCCATATTAACCTTTTTACCAGCTGTTGAATGTGAGGAGTAAAAGAAGGATCAAATTAAAATGCCAAGATATGTCTGTGGAAATTTTCTGTGTACCCTGAGAATGCAGATTGAGAGCAGGATTACGGAGCAGGATTAGTGGCTTGGATTAAGCATTTGAAAACAGTATAACTTTTGTTAGTAGACTGACTGGAGAAGCTATTTCCATTTAGCGTGCTGTGTTTTGCTTCAAACCAGCAACAACAATGCCAACGATATTCCAAAGATGTGATCCAGTAAATACAGTACATGACTTATCAACATTAAAGTCATTTTTAAAACAATTCTGTGACCATTTAAGCCTAATTCATAACAGTTCAGAGACCTGAGCCTCAGTCAGAAAATAATTTAAAATCAAATATTGAAAGCTTCTCACACTTATTCATAACAATTTTTAACCTCCAGGTTTCAGCACAGCCAAAGGCCAGCTGGTGCGCTCCATCCTTTATCCAAAACCCACCGACTTCAAGCTGTACCGTGATGCCTACCTCTTCCTGTTGTGTCTGGTGGCTGTGGCTGGAATTGGCTTTGTCTACTCCATTGTCCTCAGCATCATGAACAAGGTAACGTAGGAGGCCATGAATGAATTTATAAAATGACATAACATATAACGTACCTTGAGACTGCTAGTGAGTGCAGTGATTAGAATGGGAGTGCCAATTTAAGAAAATCTAATTTTAAACTGCCTATTCTTGACTATTCAGAGACTCTGGCTTTCTGTGGATTGACCAACACAATACTTATAAAATGTATCAGAACAATATATGGTACTGCGTCTGTAGACCAATACAAAGCAATTGTAAAAGGAAATTAATGCTAGTCAATCCAAGGGATTATTTTTGATCACAAATTTCCTTCTTCAGCAACTTTTCTTCTACATTTGCAGTACATGGTCACACACACTCAAGCCTTTAAACTTCCCAGAATAACCAAAGTTTAATCTGTGCACAATAAAAAAACAGCTCTCTAGGGAGGAAGCTTGAAACTGAACCAAATAGATATTTGCCCACTAGAGGGCAGAATCACTACAAAGCAAACTAATAATGAGAAGTGGATGGCTGTTCCATAACTAACAGAATGGAAAAACATATCTGAAGCAGTTTTTTGCAGAGGAACATTAACTGTGTTAGGCATTAGTTTCCCCTTCTTTATAAAGCCTGTTGTATGATTATAGTGTTGTTATAGTAGGATTATCATCAGACTTTGAGGATCAGCCATTTTGGGTCCATGCTCTGAAAGTGCAGAAAAACACCCTGTACCAAGCTGTTCAGTTCAAACTGGCTCCTGTTGGCTTTTGTTTGGAAATGCCTCTTATGTGATTCTGAAATCTGGACTGTGAATCCCATTTTTAGGAGTGCTGATTCAGGGCTCAAAAAAATTGTCTAAAATGCAAAAGTTTCCTGATGTTTTTTTCAATTCTGCCTTCCCCAGGTGCCAGCCAAGACCATCATCATTGAATCTCTGGACATCATCACTATCACTGTGCCACCAGCGCTGCCCGCCGCAATGACAGCTGGCATCGTCTACGCCCAGCGACGACTCAGAGACATCGGCATTTTCTGTATCAGCCCACAGAGGATCAATATCTGTGGACAAATCAATCTGGTTTGTTTTGACAAGGTGAGTACTAGCATCTCTTTTAGCATTGACCTTTAGACAGTACATGCATAAATGTAGACAACATTGGATATAACTTGGTAAAAAGTACTATGACTATTTCTATTTATTTTTACAGTTTGGAGAATGCTTTGAGGAGGATGAATGAAAACTGTGTTTGCATGTGTATTAATGATGTTTTGAAGTTAGTTTATATATATCAGTATTTACTTCTGAAGTTACCCTAAATTGATTGTACCTGTCTTAGTTGTGTTGCTACAAACGACAAGAGTAAATAACCAGTTAAATGTACTTCCTGTGTAATTACAGACTGGAACTCTGACAGAAGATGGGTTAGATCTGTGGGGAGTTCAGAGGGTTGAGAACGGAAGGTAAGCTCGTCTGTTCTCAGATTTATGAAGCATCAAAGTAATCGTGGTTAAGACCATTTTTACCTTAAAGATCTCAAGTCACTGTTCTGGTTTAGCCATTGCTGAGATTGTGTTTTCTGAAGCTCTCCTTTCTCATTTCAAATCAATGAAATGCTGAATTAAAAACAAAAAGAGAGTCCTCTTACAAACTGAATAAATGCTTTTGGGCTGCATGGGGACTCCTATGGGTGTTGATCAGATTTTGTAATGTGCAGGAATATTGACTTTAAGGATTTTTTCATTTAAGAAACTAGTTATTGATTTTGTGTGTGTATAGTATTAAGGAAATCATAAAAACACATTTTAAACAAGTTTAAAGATTCACCTTTTCTCCATGTATATGTCCGAGTAAAATGGGTCCTTTCTTGTCCAAATCCTGTTTCTCCTGCCCCTACAGTTTCCACTTGTCAGAGGAAAATGCCTATAAGGAAAACCTTGTCAAGTCCCAGTTTGTGGCCTGTATGGCCACCTGCCACTCTCTCACCAAAATAGACGGCCAGCTGTCTGGAGACCCACTAGACCTAAAAATGTTTGAGGCCACGGGCTGGGTGAGCTGTTCTCTATCAATACAAAAGTGTTTTATCGGTCAGGACAGAAAAGTGGGAATCATATTAGAGTGACCACCCTAAAAGTGTAAAGAGTGACTGAAAATCCCATTTCCCATTTTTCTGCAGTTTGTTACAGGGAGAAAAAAAATAAATTATCTCAACTATGTTTTCGATTTAAATCTTTGTCTGTTCAGCTCCTGGAAGAGGCCACTGAGGAGGAAACAGCCCTCCACAATCGTATCATGCCCACTGTGGTTCGACCCCCAAAACAACTGTTGCCCCCGGAGCCAGCTGCATCACCAGACCAGGACATGGTATGGACAAAAACCTAGTGGCTCCGCAGTATAATCACAGGATTTCAGAGTCAGGGAAAAGTCTGAAATGTTATAGTTAACACTTTCTTATCATTGCAAACAAATAAATTCAAATGACACATAACTAATTAATAGAACAGAGCTGGTGTGAGCGTTGTATAATTTGTTTTGTAACTGAAAGGTGACAAATGATTTAGAGGTTATAAGCTGTAATCTAAGCAAAAAAGTGTGTCATAAATAAACACTACCATCATAAAATAACAAAGGCAACATTACTTTAACACTGAATGACTGGCTTATAAATTCCCCACTGACTCATCCCACTGTTCTCTGTTTCTCATTCTAGGAGTTATACGAGCTAGCCGTAAGTATTCTGCCTCCCATATTCACATCGAAAGGGCAGCTCAGTTCTTAGTAGTGAGCATTTATAGTTGTACAAGTAATGTTGGCTAGAATATTAAAATTAATGTTTTTTTTCCACTTGACAGCATTTTACAAAGGTGATTGAAATTGTAAAGTTTCAAATCAATTTGTTTGTAGCTCAGGGAATTTGTTTATGTTTTAGTTTGAAAAAATAAAGTTGAGATCTAGTCTGTATAATTTGTTTTTCTAAACATGTCAACCAAATATTTGAGTCTCCAAATATCCTTCTAAAAGTCATTTTGTAGCTAGTCAGTAAGTAGCATTATCTTCTCTTTCACACAGAAGATAAAGACTTTGATGTGTTTTTCTTTGCGTCTGTGTGGGTGTGCATGTGCAGACAGCGTACGAGATCGGTATTGTCCGCCAGTTTCCCTTTTCCTCAGCACTCCAGAGGATGTGTGTGGTGGCTCGTCTGCTGGGGGAGAAACGCATGGATGCTTACGTAAAGGGCGCACCAGAGGTGGTGGCTAGTCTTTGCAGAAAAGACACAGGTTAGCAGTTGATTTTACAAAATCCACACAGGTTAGATATGTCTTCTTTTTTTGCTTTCTATCGGTCTCTGACTGTTGTGATTTTATATTTCTCTGCCTCTTTGCAGTGCCAGAAAACTTTGCGGAGGTTTTGGAGGGCTATACCAAGCAGGGTTTCAGGGTCATAGCTCTGGCTCATCGTCGACTTGAATCAAAACTCACCTGGCACAAAGTCCAAAATGTCAACAGGTGGCAGACTTTTTAATTTAGATAATATTATTTCTCATCTTCATTTTACACTATACAGATACTTGTTGCAGCTTTAATGCAAGCTGTTAACCACAGAAACAATTTATATTTGAAATGTTTGTTTATAGTCATTTATAAAGCTAATGTATATGAGAAGCACTTCTATTTTCTTTTTTTGTCATAGACATTCTAAAATATGTATTATTTACTAATATGTGTTGACTTTTCTTTTAAACAAGGGATCACATCGAGACAAACGTGGAGTTCCTTGGTCTGATCATCATGCAGAACAAGCTCAAGGCTGAAACCCCGGCGGTTCTGCAAGACCTCCGCCAAGCACACATCCGCACTGTCATGGTTACCGGTTAGTCCACAAATCTTAATTCATAACTGTATCTATATAGTCTCTTAAAACACACAACCACTCACTGAGACTACAAATAGAAACATAATACATAATGAGTCTGGTAATCTGTTTTTTGCCACTAAAGATATTTTAATCTCTCTGGTATTCAGTCCGCTCTACCTGTAATCTCAACTAATACCTGTTTCTAGGTTGCTCAGTGTGACTGGCACAAACTAACTCCAACATGTACGAGAGGATTGTAAAAACCTCCTTGCTTGGCTTTCTCTTTAAAATCTGACTGTTGGAAGTTGCTACACAAATCCTAAAATGAAAGACAGTCCTTTAAAAAACCTCGTACATTGGAGCTGAAAAGGAACTCAGTAACCCGTGACAAATGTATGATCTACTCACAGACCGCCTTACCTACAGAAATAATTACTGACATTATTTTGAAGGATGGGACTTAAGAAAAATCTGAAGTTTTTAATGTGTGTGTATTTGTGATAAAGTGACTAATGTCTGACTTTGCTGGATTTTTTAATACCAGCATGACAAAGGTCAAATGGAGCAAGGGCAATAAGCTAAATTTATTCTACTTACCATAAACAGCTGGTATCAACATAACAAGAGTGAGGCACATCACCCATGATATTTCTTATGGAGATGGAGAGAAAGTGCAAAATAAGAGAGGTCCTATACTCATATTCCAGGTGACAACATGCTGACCGCCATCTCTGTGGCCCGAGACTGTGGGATGATCCCTCCCCAGGACACAGTGATCATTGCTGATGCCTTCCCTCCACATAATGGACAAGCTGCCAAGATCACCTGGCGATATGCTGACAAACCAAGCAAGACACCTCGCCTGGAGGTGAGGACTTGAGGCTAATGGGAATAGATTGCTTGCACAAAATAAATAGAGAGAAAAAGCATAGCGAAAGAGCAGCCTGCAATAAGGCTTGCACAATCACACAAACACAGTACAAGGCTGCATTAATGCATACACATTCATACACGTACGGGACGGAGAGACAAATTCAAGCATGTCGATAACTAAATGTTTTCCCTGGCACCCAATCCAAACTCAACAAGATTCCCATACAGTTGCAATCAAAATTATTCAACCCCATTGCAAATTAGGTTTATTGGCTAAATTTACAAACTTTCAGCTGCTTGCAATGAACAAATCAAAAAAGCACAATTTACATAACACAATTAATAATATCAGTGGTTTCTCTAAGTTCAACACAATATGTCACGTTTAATGCCTGCTGCAGTCTCAAAATTATTCAACCCCTTTATGACAAGCATCTTTAGTACTTCGTAGAGCACCCTTTTGCTGTTATGGCCTGCTGCAAACGTGATGCGTAGCCAGACACCAGCCTTTGGCAGCGTTCCTGAGGAATCTTAGCCCATTCCTCATGGGCGTCCTCTTTCTGCCACGTCCAGGTAGTGTAGCCACAGTTCCTTTTAGCTTTAAACTTGCGAACTATGATTCCAACTTTTTCTCTAGGAACATTTAGTGCCTTTGCTATCTTTTTGTATCCTTTTCCTTGTTAGTGCCAGACAATGATTTCTTCTCTTATCTTATCTTTTTGGACAATTCTCTTGATTTAGCCATGTTTCTCACATGCAACCAATTGTCACTGTCAACAAACTCCTTGTCAGACCAGGTATTTGATGTGTTTCAAGCACACCTGATGGAACTAATTGAGCCCTTGATTGGTTGCATCAGTGTGCTTGAAACAACACTCAATTTGCAAATGTGTGCTTTTATGAGGGATTCTATTCAGGGGGTTAGATAATTTTGACACTGCAGTATTCTTTAAAAAGTGGCACTTTGTGTTGAATATGGAGAAACCAATAATAATAATAATTGTCTAAACCTCTTTAAAAAAAAATTGTTTGGTTTGTTCATTGCAAAGAGCCGAAAGTTTGTAAATTTTGCCAATAAACCTAATTTGCAATGGGGGTTGAATAATTTTGATTGTAACTGTATGTGCTTTTAGTTGTTGGTCAAAGAACTGACTAAAAGTTGGGTTGAGAAAGCATTTCCAGCATCGACAGTTCTTCAAAGCCCACTGAAGTAACCAATGGGTGACGCCACTCAGGCTTCTTCCACTATAATTTACAGATATGGTCTAAAAACAAATATGTAGAAATGACTAATGTTCCAACAATGCCAATCATTTTATATCATAATGAGGTCCAATAAAACAAGTCAATATTAATACTAATAATACTAATAATATTGATTATTATGGAATATCAAAATCTTGAATTGTTGTGACAGTCTGACCAGTTGGTTTAACAAGAACGTACTGTCTGAGGATATCTTTGTATTTAATGTTCTGCCTCTTTTAACAGGAAGTGACAATCAGTCTGGAGGATAATTTCCACATAGATGAGCAAAAACCACAAGAGCTGTACCACTTTGCCATGAATGGAAAATCATTTGCTGTCATCGAGGAACATTTCCCTGACATGCTTCAAAAGGTACATTGATCTCTTAAATGAGAGTAGACTTTGTTTCCAGCATTTCTGTGTATTATACTAAATAAAAGTTGCTGCTACATCTAGAATAATCTCCCTGAATCCTTATATGTCTGTTGAAATGACGGTGCATTCTGTTTTGTAGCTTGTGCTGCATGGGACAGTGTTTGCCAGAATGGCCCCTGACCAGAAAACCCAGTTAATTGAGGCGCTGCAGGCTGTCGAGTAAGTGATTTAGTCAAATAAATGATGGAGCTATACTATTACATCCAAAGTACATGATCATGCTACTGAGAGGCTTGCTTAAATGATGAGCAGCAGCTTAACTTTCAGTTAGATTTTTATGATCATGTTTAAAGAATAATGGATAACATTGTTCACACTGTCACTGCTCTTTATTTGCCTAAAGCTACTTTGTGGGGATGTGTGGAGATGGAGCAAACGACTGTGGGGTATGTACACACACTTGTTAAGCAATTACTAGTTTTAAATCAACAGTTAAAAATGTACATTAACATATTGACATGTGGTCATATTTAGTGATTCCTACTTTCCTCACTCAGGCTCTTAAGAGGGCTCATGGTGGCATCTCCCTGTCCGAGCTTGAGGCGTCTGTAGCATCTCCCTTCACCTCCAGGACCCCCAACATTTCCTGTGTACCCAGCCTCATAAGGTATCTTTTCCTTAGACCAATTTAGACTAATTAGTAGCGCTAGAATGTTGTTGTTTTTTTATGTACTAATGACGTACTGGTCGAGTTCTATGTTGCATAGAGATGACTCAATGTTTACTTATTATTACAGGGAGGGGCGTGCTGCTCTCATCACCTCCTTCTGTGTTTTCAAGTTCATGGCGCTCTACAGCATCATCCAGTACATTAGTGTCACTCTCCTCTACTCTGTAAGTATGCTGCTGCTACCACAAGTGAAGATAGAACACGTTCAGGGACTTCACAGAATTTACTCTACACACTGATTTATACTGTGCTGTCGTTCATGTTTCTTAGATCCTCAGTAACCTTGGAGACTTCCAGTTCCTTTTTATTGACATGGCCATCATTCTCGTTATTGTCTTTACCAGTAAGTATAAGAAAAAACTAAATAATTTGTTTGTTTTTTTAGCCTATGGTTGTTTGCCTTGCTTTGGTTTATCTTAATCAATATCTTTATTTAATGCCTCTTCACCTTGTCCTCTTTTCTGCCAATCTTCATCATGCTCCCTTCCTCTTCTCCTCTTCAGTGAGTTTAAACCCAGCGTGGAAAGAACTAGTGGCACGTCGCCCCCCATCAGGTCTGATCTCAGGGCCTCTGCTGTTCTCTGTGCTGACCCAGATCCTCATCTGCTTGGGCTTCCAGACCATCACTTTCCTCTGGGTCCGACACCAGCCCTGGTACACAGTCTGGACACCGCATACAGAGTGAGTACCTATTAGAAACGCTCACCTATGCCTCTGCTGCTCTACAGCTAAAAAAAAAAACCATCATAATATAAATGTTACCTACCCTGTTTCTTCAAATAAAAGAAGATGGTCAAATAAAAGCAGCATATCCAGTATAAGTGATGGTTTACACACCCAAATTTGCCTCTCACATTATATGAATGCCAAAATAAGCACAATGCACTCTAAACAAATCCTCAATATAATACATTTAACATTGTAAACATTCAATTTTCATCACATTTTTTTTCTCTTCCAGACTACTTGTCTTGGGTGTTATTATACAATTTCTATCTCTGAGTGGATGTAATAATGTCTGAGCCAAGTTATACTCTGTAGTAATATACAAGTGCCACAAGATGGCGATAGCTACATTTCAAGGGTCTCATTCAAGCCTTCATATCACATTCTTGCGAATATGTCATGACAAAGGTGTTTAATACAAAGAGGATCCTTAGTTGTATTCATGGCATGTTTCCCTAATTCTAACAGGGAAATGGTTAAAGGACAGCATCACAACAAAAAAGATAAGAATTCAAACAGGCTTCCTTTTTAAGTGAAACAAACGGGTTTATTTTTTTAGAGGAAACTATTAATAAAGGTCTGACCCTTATGCAAGCCTACTTCAAATAACCGCACCCTCTTCAGTTGATGTAAATAACAGCCCATTTCCAGAGGACAAAAGAGGAACAATTACAGAAACAATCCACAAGACATACAACAAAATAATAGTGACACACCAAAACAGGCAGCAGCCCCGATGTGAGGATTTGCTGTAGCCTTCCTGTTAAAATAATTTGATATGTTCTAATTAACTGTCACTTCCATGTCTCATTTCTATATTATGATGACGCCGGACTGAATATTTTATTTTCTCGTTTAATAATTGAACTCTCGTCTCACTTAGTGTCTGCAACCACTCATCACACCTCAATGTCTCTGACCACAACGACACCGAATTGGACGACCACAACATCCAAAACTTTGAGAACACCAGCCTCTTCTATGTCTCCTGCTTCCAGTATCTCATCATTGCCATCGTTTTCTCGAAAGGAAAACCTTTCAGACAGCCGAGCTACAAGAACTGTAAGAAAACCTGACTGATTTGACACCAGTAGAACTGCTCTGAGTTACAAAGTAACTTTTCATTGTTATGAACTTATTTGTCCCCTCCCCAGGGCCTTTTGTGCTGTCTTCCTTCTTTTTGTACGTTTGCCTGCTGTTCATCATGTTCTACCCTGTCCAAAGCATTGATAAGTTTCTAGAGGTAAGACTCGTTAAATGTAGGACCAGCAATCAAATCATTCATATGAAAAACATGTACCTTTACTCCGCTCTTACTCAGTTTTTTTCATGTAAAATATATTTATTTTTTAGAATATTGATATAATTCAAATGCTGTTTTTGATCTCTGATGATCAGGTTTGAAAGTCTATCTCTCTCACTCTGAACAGATTGTGTGTGTCCCATTTGAGTGGAGAGTTAAACTCTTCCTCATCATCCTCGTCAACGCTGCTGCGTCTATTTTGATGGAGGTAAGACACACCCTTGAACCTAAAGTATTAATACATGTTTTTTTCCTTCATGTCCAGTTTTTGTTTTTTCATGCAGTGTGCTCATCTTTGTTTCATTCAGCTGGACAGCAGGATCAATCGTGTTCTGTAGGAAACAAATATGTGTATATTATACGAGGCGAGCTTTAGAATATGTGAAAGTTAACAGTTTATGTTTGACTGCTTGAAGCTACTTTTGAGTGATTTCTGCTTTTTTGGGGCTTTTGAAATTCCCTAAAGCAGCACACGTTTATCTTGTTTCATTTTTGAACAGACAGATGCTCTTTAAGAAAATTACTTGTGCTGTGAAAATAAATGGCCTTTTGGCCTGCCATACTTAGTATAGCAGGATAATAACTATTTTTACTTGTAGAAATCCTTGCATCCGTACACTACATAACAGATGTCTTAGATGATGTTACATCCTGAACTACCAGTGCATATAACTTCACTTTTTAAATGTATTCACCAAATGATTTTGCATATAACCACATTGTTTTTTTTAAATAACAGAATCAATGCACTCTTTCTTACTAATATGTCAAATTTAATTACAACCTCACATGTAATGACAAACACTCTGCTGAATGTGTTTGAGCAAAAACAACGGAAGACCTCTGTGCAGAAAAAAACAATAACAGACACTGTGAAAATCAAATTCGCCTCACTGTAATTCTTTCCCTGCCCACTGCACTATTCCGTAGACCTTCGTCCTTGACATCATCTTATGGAAGCTTGTATTCAGCCGAGACAAACAGGGAAGCTTTGTCGACACTCCTGCCGCCCAGACACCACAGGTTGGGAAAACATGACACCTTCCTCCTCAGCCTTTTCACTCTCCTCTTGTGTGGTGTTCCCTCTCTCTGTCCCTACTTCCTCCCTCCAATGCCGCAGAGCACACTTTTTGAATGTAACCCTTAACCAAGACATGCATGTGCGAGATGTCAGTCGCATCCTGATCTGTCCCCTCCTTCTCCTGTCCTCCTGTCCAGGGCTTGATTACAATTGCATTAATTACTAAACCTGCTGCTCATCCGCAATGTTTTAAAATAGGCTCGAAGAAAAACTGGAAAACTGTTAATACATGTACAGCTACCGGTGGTCAATGATGAACACATTAACACTCTGGAAAGTGGGTTGATCCCATTACCTCTTTTAGAAAGTGCCTTTAATGACTTTTCTTAGCTGTCTATTAGCTACATTAGGCCGACTTCAACTTTCTTTCTATGCAACAATTTCTTAAGGTGAAGCTAACTACTTCTTACAGGCCTGCATGTTGTGTACAGTGTGTGCCATTCCTATTAATGATAAAAAGAAAACATGCACATATTGATAGTGTGTTGTTTTTATAGTTTAAATTATTAGTGATTATAAGTGATATTTTCTTAATTTGCACAACATTCCCATGCCTTGGATATCTCCGTTGTTTGACTGCTTGCCACCTCTTCTCCCTCCGCTTCATTTCCTATTAAGCCTATGTGCCATACTAAGCTTCAAAGCAGACTTTTCCAAAATATGGTCAATAAGATCTGCTGTTGAATCTTTTGTTTGTTTTGATCTTTGACTCCATTAGCTTGTTTTTAAGGAGTGGCTCTTAAGGCTGTCTACAGATAACTCCTTCTAACTATTATCATGCTACAATTCATTTTGAATGACTTGCATGCCTTCATTCTTGTTACAATGTGTCCAGCAATAGCTCTTCTTCAGTTTTATCTTGTGCATGTGACAGTTTAATAAGTATGGTAGTTTATTTTCTTTGCATGTTCGTAAAGTGTTTAAGAAAACCTGAACAAAATACGGCACATGTTTGTGAAACCTCTTCATTGATCTAATCTCTTTTTTCTTTCTGTGGTAATTGTATTGATTTGTTTTTGGCTGTGTTGTTTTCAGCGGGGGATTAACCTGGGCACATACAAGTGTCTGTCCTGGCTGTGCTGCCCACGCAAGATGGCGCCCAAGGCCCGCTACATGCATCTAGCCCAGGAGCTCAGTGTGGACCCTGACTGGCCTCCAAAGCCAACCACCACCACTGAAGCCAAGCCCCGCCCAGAAAATGGCTCCACCTATCACATCATGGTCAACTCCTAGCCCCCCCCCATGGTTCCTCCTAGTATCAAATTGAAATTAACATGTGTTCAGCGAACACACATTCAATCTCTTGAATTGGGTTGAGACTTGCAGCTCATACTGTAGTTCCAGAGACTGTACAGCTAAAATAATCTTACACAGAAGCACCAAATAAATCTGAGTCCTCTCAGCACTCTGGCTCAACAACTCATGTGCTCTCAGGTCTCTCTAGTTTGTGTAAATTACATTTAAACATCAAGTAATACTAAATGGAATCCCCTCTTGGTGTCTGATCATTTATAAATGCAGAATCAAAAGATGGTTGATAAGACAGGTCAGTTTTGTTGACCTCTGCAGATGACCTTTTCAGATCTATATTCTTTAAAAGGTGTACAAGTACAAAATAGAGCCCCCTTGCCAGTCCAATTCAGAGCTTTCCTCTTACATTCATGTGCTGGCACAATTTCCTAGGAGAATCTTGAATGATTGCTTGTATGCCATTATATCATATCATATTACAATAACTTATAGACCATAAAACTAGATTTCAACTTTTGGTGAAGTTGAAACAAAGTAACTAGACATAAAGTCTGTTAAAACTAAGGCCCTAAAAAGAACTAGCTACTCTGACTGAAAGGCCAAGTGATAGAAGAAATGGTCTGGATGAGTTTGAGGAGGGAGGCAGAGAAAGAGGTGAGTGGGAGGAAATGGTGGAGTGGAGGATGGGTGGATTGATGCATAGATACTCTTAGTTGACTTTGATTGCTACTATTTAGTGGTCTTTTACAGTTCTATACTTTAGACTACTAAATGATGACACTTAGAAACATATCTGTGATTGCATTTTCACTCCTAATTAGGCTGAAACATAATATGAATTCAAACATCATGTTTTGTAAGACAGTAAATGCATCAAGAGAACAGTGATGGAGACATGCAAGTCTTTTTTCAACGACATGCTGTGGAAGTATCTCCATTGTTTTTGTCGGTTTGCTAGAGTTTAGCGTTATGATTATAACAGAGATTGTTAAGTAGAAAAGTATAAAAAAAAACAAAAAAAGACTAACTTAATTTCAGCTTTGTAAGACACATAAGCCTCATGGATCCTGTGACCTTTTGGTCCAAGTTGAAGTACTATTTCACGTCTTGTCATTGGAACGGTTACAGACATTTATTGTCCAGCTTTTTCATGTCCTTCAACCAACCGTTTAACAAGTGTATAACAGGATATCTCTGAAACTAATGACTATATTCTCAACGACCGCAGCTGTACTTTCAAATTAATGCTATTTTGAATGTGAAATACTGAAGGCTAGCTCAAGTCTTGTTCGACAGGGAACATAATAGCTTTGCCTCTCACACTCCTTCAGGTGAAACTTTTTGTTTCACTATTGAAACATAATACTTAAGAACAGCAAACATGTCTCTCCTTGAGCTCTTTTCTTGGGCCCCTAGTGTACTTAAAAATGTAGAATCTTATATTTTTGCATCTATGAGTCGAGCCCTGTCAGCATATTAGGACATCAGACAGGAAACAGAAAGCTTACAATGACTTGCATGAAGCCAGCTACCTATCATCATGTTCTAAAGACTTGATAGTTTGAATCCTGAAAATATCATTACAAATGCGGCATAACTGTAGAATTAAGAAACATTTACATCAACATGTCTTCATTTAAGAGCTGCATGAATATGGATGGTTACTGTGGAACGTTTACCTCATGCATGACATCATTATATACATCATTCATCTACATGGTCATGTCAGATGAGTTCAAGGAAGCCAGCAGCACTACAAATATATTTCTGTTAAAAAAAAAAAAAAGAAGAAAATAATTCTTCCCATGGAAGACTGATTTAAAATGATGTAAATTAAGGCAAAGCATTTAAATCTCATCAGCTCGCTGCTCTAAGCACATTTAAAACATCCATGCAACAACACATGCTGCATAAATGGATGGACCGTATATAATTGTATTCATGCGTTAAATATAGGCTACTTGCATGGAGAGCTAAGGGCTATATTGTATGTTCACTGCTCCCTCATTTAAATTCAAGGTGTTGTTTCCCAAAAGCTTTTTTCAGTTTCAAACACTTCATCACGTGGTGGGTACTGAGTTCTAAAATGTTTGTTTGATGAGTTTACGAGGCAGTTGACATTAAAGTGACATTAGTGGATTCATTATTTGCCTCAAGAATGGATCACTGGAAATCATATTAATTCATTGATTGAGAGATAACCACAGCCACTATAAACTAAATGCTCAAAGAGGCATTTTAAGGGTGGAGTATAACTTTAAGGCACAGTGCTGGCCGGTTCTAACTATACTCATTATAGCAGCCTGTCATGAATTATGTGAGTTAATGCTTTCAACTAGTCTTGTGTCACAAAGTACAACAATTCAAAGGTCTTTCAAACTATATGTAACGTTGCTCTTTCTGTTTGAAAAACACTGTATTACATGACTCTTCATGTGTAACACACGACTTCACATTTAGCTTGTCCTCTGACTGTCATTATTTCATTCATTTAGAAAGGAGATCACAACACATTTCCTACTATATCAGTAATAACTAGAGTCTGAAGTTGCTCAGTTCCTAAAAGCCATTAACTGTTCAGAGACTAGTCATAAAATCCCAAATCCATACGGTTTAATGACAAGCTCAAATGGGATCTGTGTCCATACTTTGAATGATTACATTATTTATTTGATAAGCAAAGTTATAGTATTTTGTTATAGTATTTTTTGGTAAATTATTAGTGTGAGAAGATGGATATATTTATATGAAAAAAAAAATGATTGAGAAATGCACAACATGGCTCAAATGGACGTTCTTGTCCCAATCGATGGAATGATTCTAAAGAAAATTGTTAGAAATGTCGATGTTACTTATTTCTGTTCGATATCAAAAATGATGCTGGTATGATTCAACTTGGGTCGTGTTTTTTTCTGTCTATTTTATTTACAGTCACTTCTTTTTTTAGTCAGGCTAGAATTGAATGTTGTGTAAAGGAAAAAAAAAAGTATAAATTTATTGCAGGCAATACAATGTTTATTGAATCTATTTCCAAAGAGTTTCCGTTTCACCTTCATTTGAAAAACAAAGAAGAAAAAGTTCAATTTTAGCCTGTGTTAAATTCTCTCAAATATGATTTGATTCAGTAGAGACTTACTTTAAAAAGTAACCGTTATAATATATATATTCGATTCTATCTGTATATATGAGATATACATTTCTAGTGTGTGCATTAAAGTCACAAGATTTAGTTATTGAAAATGTATGGTGTTTGGATTATCAAAGGGCTGGTGTGTGTTTTTCTACTATTCTGGTACTGTGTTACAATCAGTTCTATGTCTACTCATGGCTTTTGGGTTTATTTTACTTTCACTTTTGTTAAGGACTTGCATTATCTTGGGTTTTCCTTATTTCGTCATCTTGGGCATTTATCACACAATATGAAAATTGTAAAGTATGATTGGGGCACATGGATCAATGTTTTTTCTGTCTTGGGTGAACTTTACGCAACTCATGTCTGCATTAGAGTTTAATGAAAGTTAAACTCAGAGCAACTTGAATGGAGAGATTTCTTTGTTCTTCAGGTTAATGAAGTATATTAAATCCTCCTATGTACTGGTTGCTTCTCTTTGGTCTCAATACTTTGACACAAGAAGGGAATTTAATTCATTTAGTCTTTCTGGCACCTCTAAACAAATTCACAACTATCAGCAACATCTGACAGTCTTGACACTTCTCTGTTTGAGCACTAAATGTACTTGTTTCACTGTTTAAAATCTTTTATATCCATGTCAAATTAAAATGTAATTGGCAAAAAGAATGTGCATTGCTGCTCGATATCAGCAGTCTATTGTAGAAATGATTATATTGCTGCTATGGGCAAAATGATTCAGTCTAAGCTGTGTCATAACTGCACCTTAATACAGAAGAAGTCATCAGTTCATTGATGTGTAAATACTAATGCTTTGGTTCAACGCTACAGCTTTGCCTTTTAATCTGACACTGCTTTGTCAAGCAATGGATTTAATGCTGAAACCTCTTTGCTCTCATACAGGTACAACATATACCGACTGTTGACAGTTAGCATCGGCCTCTTATTCACATCATGTATTTTTAACAAAACATCAAATGGCATTGAGATCGAGTCAACCACAGAGTATCTGAAGCCTCATGTGGATGTTGTTTCCTCAGGGAAATGTGTCTATTTGTAATGAAGAATAAAAGAATAATAAAAATGTACTGTTGGTAAATCTTCCTTACTGTATGTTAGCTCTCTCAGTTCAGTTTGTTTGGTGTGATTTTCATTTGAAGCTCCCACACCTTGTTTGGAGTAAATGTATTGTTTTTATTGGCAGAAATGTACATTTTATGAAAATTTTTGTACCTTTAATTTATTTTGTATTTATTTTCATTTCTTTCTCCCCCCCTGATTATTGTATTTCAGATTTATCTTGATTTCTTTCTTTTCAATAAATGTTCTCAAAACAGTCTGCTGCATTTCTTTGCATAATTAGTTTCCACTGAACAGGATACCGTAATTATTTATTTATAAGTGCAGGATGGAAATCTGGCCTAAAGTTCCAATGTGTGGCAAAAGTTTTAAAAAATTTGAGTATGGAGTTTACGTGTTGTGAGACTTGTTTAGCAAGTTGAAATTTATGCAGAAGATGTCACATTTAACAGCTTTTAAAATTGAATTAGTACATTTTAAAGTATCCAACCTAGAAGTATAGACTGAGAAGGATCATGACAAAGACAGAGTACAAAGTCAGTCTGTTCTAGTTGGACCTTACACACATCTCCATCTAAAGTACAATTATATAACTCACCCATAAAGATGGGAGGAAGAGAGAGTCAAATGTGACATTTAAATACCTGCCATAACAAGTTATTACATTTGCACAGACATCCAATGTGACAAAACAAAATACTTGGCAGATATATCTGTAAATACTTCAATTATATGACATAAAAACTATCGACAGTTATTGATTATTATTATTATTCACGTTGTACTTTCCTAGCCTAAACTGCACCTGTGTATTCAAATGACATCTTTATCAAGTCATATTCGTTGTATTATATTGCCCATTGAAGTGTCCCATCTGATAGGCAGCACCCAGTATGTTGTCTACTTCAGACACTCACTTGGGCACTTCACTTGAGAGATGTATTCACTAATATAACATTTTGATTTTCTAAACTGAAAGAAAGGAAGATAAAGTAATATTCTCGGTATGTACGCTGTAGGAAGAATGCTGTCTACTGTTTTTTTTGTTTTTGTCTGTAAGAGGAGATCATAATTTAAAGGACAATAAAATGACATTATAAAACTGTCAGCCATTTAGTACATGCTGTGTCTTCACAATAATGTAGGCTCTATCCTCCAACATATTATTATAAAAGCTTGCAATGACTTGAATACATGATGAGTTACAACAGATACACCTTTGGTAAAGTGTAAAAAAAAGAGCACAGAAGTGACGGGCAGTGCAACATAGGAAGTACTTATCTGGTGGTGTGTGGGTTTTTTTTTTGTCAGTGCTCATTTGAAGGTAGCACCGTCAACAGGAAGTGGACTGTCATTCTGGCTGTGTCCTTGTTAGCTAACGAGCTACAGGCAGGCAGATGTGTACCATTTGGAAAGATGAATTAAGCCGTCCCTAAAAAGGAGAGAATTTGAAGAGATTTGAGTTTACTCGCTGTATATAACAGCACCATGTTGCGTGTCGGGAGTAAAGCTGCCTGGTGAGTTTTGTATTACAAGAAGAAAACCCGCAACAGAAGCTGGACAGCACACCTAGCCGGTCATTTTGACAGCTGAGGACAGCGAGGAGAGCTGCTTGTTTCATGAAAACAGCAGCCTTACTAGTTAAAAGACACATGTATTAATGCCTTAGTTCGTTCAAAACCTTCCCCAACATTGAAACTGAAATGTATTATAAGCTACAAATCGGTCAAATGCTGCTGCTGCTGTGTGTTTGTACGTTACTGTAGCCTGTTAGCTTAGCTTCAAGGTACAGTGAATGCCGATAGCTGGCATTCATCTCAGCTGTAATTTGATAACAAATTGGCTTACAGGCTGTTATGTAAATCACATTTTGGTCTCTGTAAACAGGAAATAGGAAACCAAATGATCTATATACTGTCTATTTGAATGTTAATTGACCTTTTTGAATAGTGAATCTGTGTTAGTGTTACTTAAACATAGTTTCGTTTTGTCTTGTGTTTCCAAATTGTACATACGGATTTACACATCAGCTACAATAACACTGTCCCACCTAACATATGTGTGTCTATCCAGAAGCCTGATTCACTATGTTATTCTGGAAAAAAAAACATTTTAATGACATGAACCCTGCTGTCTTTACCTGTTGCAATTATTTAAAGTAAACCACTGGTACTTTCACAGAAGGTTTGAGCTCTCCTTCTTCCACAGTGCAACATTTATTATTTTTTTTTAAATTTGATCTGGGCGGTGACATGTTGTCACAAAATTGATTTGATGACTTGATGTCTTTGGCCTCTGGCTGCTTCGGTAGGAGTGGAAACAAGAAGCGTTCAATCAATCAATCAATCAATTTTTATTTGTATAGCGTCAACTCACAACAAGTGTTATCTCGAGACACTTTACAAAAAGCAGGTAAAATACTTTACTCTTTGTCTTTTAACATTACAAAAGAGCAGGTAAAAAGACCTTACTTATTGTCTTTTAACATTACAAAAGAGCAGGTAAAAAGACCTTACTTATTGTCTTTTAACATTACAAAAGAGCAGGTAAAAAGACCTTACTTATTGTTATGTTACAAAAAGCAGGTAAAAGACCTCACTTATTGCTATAATAAGATGTATTCAGATATTTTGGTGTTTATAAGCACAGGAATAAAGATGCTTTTCTAATGTGTTGTCCAATGCCCTTGTCGTCTCAGCTTGGCCTGCAGGAACCTGGTCTCCACCAACATGGGCGTGAGATTTCGGGTACCCCTGCAGAAGCTGCACCCTCTGTCCCGTGCCATCCACCACCGATACTCCGGCAACACAAACCCTCAAAGAGCCCCTCATCGCACTGCTGCCCGTTATTTCACTTCCATGTCACGGTTGCCCATGCGACCACCTAAGCCTCCCCCGGGATCAGGGGGCCGTGGCCATCAGCAGCAGCGCAACTTCTGGGTGGCCCGCCTAGCTGCCCGCTTGCTGAAGCTACGATACATTCTGCTGGGCTCTGCAGTGGGAGGAGGCTACACAGCTAAAAAGGTCAGTATTAAGGGTCTCCAACACAGAGTTTCTCAACTATTCTTATCATTGTCTTGCCATTAACTACTAGTGTTAAGTCCGTTGTTATCTCATCATCACAGAGTTTAAGAACTGCAAACCTGTCACTTTAGATTCACAATAAACAAACAGCTACAGTTAAAGTTGTTAACAATGATCTTAGCTGCCCTGTGTAACAAAACATTTTTTCTTCATATCTAAGAGAGCTTTCCTGTTCTTTTCCTATACGTGGTTGTACAATGATTCTTATTAAGGAGGGTAGAACAACTTTCATTTATTTGACTTTACCCTGTCATTTTATCTCCAGACCTATGATGAGTGGAAGGACATGCTGCCCGATTTCAGTGAATACAACTGGGTCATTCCAGATTTTGTCTGGGAACTGAGTGAACAAATTGATCTTGGTAAGCGATGTGATTTTAGAGACATGATTGATATGAATCTACAAATACCCGGCTTTGTCTTGCATTTAAAATGTGTTTGATTTTCAAAAGTCTCACATCACATGCACAATTACTTTATCTTAATGTATAGCTAAGCTTAACAATTTTGCATTGTGAGGTCCAACTTTTGAGCGCTTGTCCAATTGACATTTTGCCTCTGTATCCAAAGATAAACTGGCCAAAGCTCTACCAGAGATGGAGGAAATAGTCAAACTTCTTCCTGACCTAGACAAGATAGGAGAGAACTTCACTTTCATCAAAAGCCTCCTTTCATCTGGTGAGTAAACAAAATCTTCACTGTGCCTTCCAGCTACTGCATACTAACAATACAAAATCATAATTATTTTGTGTCTGGTTTTAAAATGAAGACAACTTTAATTAAAGGAATAACAATAGCAAACATGTAGTTCCCTTCTACATTGGATCTGTTTTTTTGATTGTATGTGTTCTTAAAGTATAGTAGTTTGTTGTTTCTTTTCCCTCAAATTGACCATAGCTGAGAGAGATTATATGTACTTAGAGTTTTGAAAAGTTCTAGAAAAGCATCCTATTTTTTACTCTAGTGCTCTACTTTCTCTGCATCAGCCATTCTTCATGAAATTGAAATATTCTACAAAAAGCACACCTGTCAATCGAAACTTTCGTCATTGTGTTCAGCAGATTTGCAAATTGGTTTCTGTTGCTAAACAATCTCAATAGTTTTAAATAAACTGAAATAACCTCCAAAATTCTACAAAAAAAACGGAGCAGATTCAACATGTTTTGAGTTCAGCCCTTTGAGTCTAATCTGACCTAACTCAATTACTTCCATTAAATCCCTACACAGGGAAGTAATACAGTTTTCATAATCCATCAATAACAAATACATTATACTTTAGTGGCAAAAAAAAATAGACGTTGGGCTTCTTGAGGCTCGGGTACGGGTTGTGCTTTTTTAACAGTTTCTTATTAAGTGGCTGCCTCACTGAAGCTCTGGCACAGCTTTTTTAAAATACACTTCATCTAGCTGTGTCCCTGCTTTGACCACCATCCCTCAGCTTCTGTCATACATGATTTTTTTTTTTATCTTGTGTTGTTCTGCCTTTTTCTCCTCCTCCCCTCCCCTCCTCCTCAACGTTCTTCACAGGTGTGAGTTTGGGTAGTGAAGTCAAAGGAGCTTCTGGTCTGCATCTGTTGTTAGGTGTGTAAACCTGCACTCTGTAGCGCTGCCCCCCCCCCCTTCTTCTCTCTCTAATGCTGTTTAACACCCCCAAGTATTGGTGTAGTTGTGGGTTCCTGCTCTAAAGGTGGTAGCAGAGCATCTTCCCAGGACGTTGGCTTCCATGTTGCAGACCAGTGCTGACTACATTGGCTGTTTTTGAAATGAACACAGATTCATTGATGTGTTCAGTAAAGTTTATGACCTCTCATTGAGATTATAAAATTGTTTAATCTTTGACTCAGGTTCTCAAAAGGAATATGCTTTATTCAATTATCCAGTTAAAACTATTTGTCAGAAATCTGTTACACCCCCCCCCCTTCCAT